GAAATGAAGTAGACATATAAATTTACTGTCTCCCAAAATTCCATAATTTGTTCGATTCTACAAGTGGGCTAAAAATAAAATCGAATGGAATGTGCTGCAGAAGATGCATAAATTCTGCAGTACATTCCTGAGATTAAAACTTCACCAATAAATCATTTTCAGACCACTGAGAAAATTTCCCTAAATCACAATAAATCATTTTCCACTGCTGCTAGAAAATTTCCAGAAAATTTCCAGATTTAAAAAAATAAACATCTTAATATATAATCATATCATAAAATTTCATGAATTTAGGAGTTGCAGAAGTACATCAAAATATTATCACAAACAGACTTTGCTGCTGAAGTTTACAGAATTCCAGCAGCGTGGTATCACCTTTAACAGTTTACTATAAATTTATTTGATGTCCCAAAACGTGAAAAGTGCATTATAATCTAATTCTGAATTCTAAGAAACTACAATTACAATTTACATAAGGTTTGGAGTTACGAAAGTCTCTAAAAAAAAATAGGATGTTTATCAAGCCCAGGTTAGACATGATGGTTTTCTTTTGACATGTGATGAGTTTCTTGCCTTTTCAACATGTCCTATTTCTGACTTATAAATACTTTTATTGATTTCTCACTCAAATATAACAAAATTCATTAAACTTAAGTTGAATCCACTAAACCACAAGCAAGACGTTATACCATAATCAACATAGTAGTTCACAGTGTTGACGTGAATCATAACATGTCATAAGTATTCATAATTTGTCATAGGTAATCAGTCATACCAAACATGTACTTATAGCAAACAAGAGAATGCAAAAGACTTACTTGCAAACGACGTCGTTGAAGAAATTCTCCAAAATCTCAATTGTGTGTATTTGAGAAATTTCTCAAAAAAAAAAAACAAAGTCTCAGCTAACGCAATTTTATGTTTGAAGATGAAGGTCACAAAGGACAAACTTTGCAAACATGAACTGAAAATAAAAAAAATTCTGATTTCTGAAGAGGGGTGTTTACAGGCATAATGATAGAGGGAAGCGTAAACATCAACTTAATTAACATGTATGGGAAAGTCAGTTTGCAAAACCAATGTGAAAAACATAGCAGGCATTTATATTCAAATTAGTTCAACCAATCAACTAATACGCCTAAGTGGCCATACCATTATTCTTGTACTCCATTACTCAAAAATTATGCAGCAAATTGTGAACAGGATAGATATATAGCTCAAGCTCCTCAGGATCACAATGGCTCACCCAAATTATATGGTTTGAAATTAAAATACGAAAGGCCCATTGTAAAAGGTTCCTTCAACCAGATTTATTCAATCATGCAGTCTTAAGACAATATATATAGTCAAAATGCAATAAGCTTAAAGTCATGCGGCAATCCTTGTTTGCAACAGAGTTAATGTATTTATGGAAAATGAGCAGAAGCAAGAAGACAAACCCCAATTTATCTCCTAGTGGGGAGTAATTCTCAACTGGGTTTTGATGATGTGCGGGGAAGCAAAACCCGAATAACGGCTCGATCAATAATAACTGGATGGTGGCTCACTTAGAAATTTGAAATTAGCTATCACAGTCGAGCTCGCGGAAGAGAACACAGTGAAGAAAACATGTCAGGGAGAAAATTCTTTATGCCTTCTCCAGATATGAATAAAAAACCAGTTATAAATTTATCAAATCATAATTGACTAATAAAACATTTTGTTTCAATTGCTTCACTGAAAGTGTAATTTTCAACCAAAAGGGACCACAAATCCATGACGTTATTCTGGATTGGTGTTCCACTCAATATCAAACGATGCTGGGATTTCAATTGAACTCCTGCAGATTGTATTATCTACGCCCTGCACCGTATATAAAGTTTCTGCACCAAACTTATTAGCCATAATATATGCTTCTTTATGATGAATAACATCGCAGCACACGGTCATCATACATACAACTATATTAAGTCATGAAAGAATAAGAACAGCGGAAGCAAAAAAGGATGATTTGAATTATCCATAACGATGTAGTTTTTTGAATTGGATTCTAGTCATGTTGTTTGGCTCTGATACCACATGTAAGGTGGACTAATACAACATGGTTCTAGGATAACAATTTAACATGCATCATGATAATTACAAGAAGAAGATGCATGATACTAACCTGCACCGATTGGAGACATGGTGGCTTGAGTTCACAGGTTGTCTTCTACTTCCAGTACTTCAAAATGTCTCTCTACCGTGAATAGGGTTTGGCGTGATTGAGAGTATAAGCGTATGGAAGCAGGGACTTAACCATAATATTTATATCATTAGGGTTAATCACAACCAACCTATTATTGGTTGTGAAAGTCAAACCCTATCACTTAAGTGTTTAAGTCCCACCATGATACTGTATCTTTGTAGTGAAATCCATCAGATTTCTTTTAGGTCAATTGCAAAGGCTAAGACTCCATAATCCTTATTTCATTTGGACTATCAGATTACTTAATTTGTTAACAACTCAATAAACAAGTGGTCTACAACATAAGTAATCCAATACATCATTCATTGTCATTCACAACCTTACACCGTCACATTGATTTGAGACGAGTTTCTCAGAATGCAATGCACCAAATCCCATGCACCAAATCCCTCCCCCCCCCCCCCCCCCCACACAAACACCAACCCAAGACACCCCCAATATCCCAAACCCAAAACCCATCTCCGAAACTTATCAAAGAACAAGACAACCATCAATTTCCCATATATGAAGCAGGCAAATAAAACTGTAAATACAAACAATTGAACATATTGGATGCAAAAAATGGTAACCAAACGAAAGAATTGTGAAAGGTGAACTTAGTCTGTAGCGACGTAGATTGGTGGTTGAAAGGTATTGAGTTCTTGCATGCCTGCGTTGGTTCAAACTTCGTCGGTGACTAGTTTAACATTTAATCTAACAAAATCTATTGTTTAACACAAATAAATAAATAAATAAAAACCCAGATTTAGCAACTCTAACTAAAAAAATCACGTGAATGTCACGCGAGACAACCAACTAATGAGTAAAAGTAAGTTGGGCCTTAACAATGATTGGGCTAGGGAATGAGTAATTAAACAAGTATCCAATTCATTCCAGTTGACCTTCCAAACTTCTAATGCATATTTCAGTTACACGTGAATAGTCACTCATTAGTACAATTAGTTGTATTCCTTCTTCATTTGTAATCGAGAGATTTTAGGTTCAATCCTTACCAAAGACAAATTTGAACCACATTGTTGCTAGCTCATGAATAAAAGTCGTTAAATCATTAACGTGATGAGATCTAACTGCTATTGTTTAAATATATAACTTAAGGGGTAATATTAGATAGACTAAATTTTTAAACCAAATTTGAAAACTAAATGATGTGTCACCAATAGAAAATAAAGACGTTAATCAACACTTAAGTAATAATCATAAACAATTACATTATTTGGTTTAAAAATTTAGTCTCGCTAGCATTAGCCATAACTTTATTTTAACAAACAATTTATCTAAACTAAGGGGGACGAGATGAGTTTAGCCTCATAATAAACTAGCAATAATGTGGTTCATATTCACCTTTGGCGAGAATCGAACCTAAGACCTCTCACTTATAAGTAAAGATAAATAATACTAGAGGGTAGTACTAAGTGGCAACATTACTCAAAACTTTTTTATTTTCTTTTTAACAAACGATATTATTTATATTAAGAGAAAAGAGATAAACTTAATCTCACAATAAACATTAATGTGTATTTTTTTATGAACGTTACGACACTCGCAAACCCGATAGTTGGCCGGCCTTTTGGGCGTAGTTATATTGGTTAGAAATGTATGAATTTTCTCTATATTCGAGTTTGAATTGTCTTGTGTTTGAAAAGCCAATTGAGTGGTCATGGGTTTGTTGTCCTGAATAATGTGTCTCTTCTTTAGTCCTATGACATGTGTGCTCTACTTAACATTAAAATTTAACACAGTTACTTTCCATAAAATTTAATTAAAAATTTAAAAATTCAAAAAAAAAAAAAAAACCGAAAGGACACGGTTGAAACTCATCATTTCCAATCTCCTTGCAATCGTTCCCCAATCTCTTACAATCCTTAAAAAGAATCCCTTAAACCCCCTAGAAACTCATCTTCCTTATTGTCCTTATCAACCCTATGAATCCAATCACAGTCATCAATCTCCCAACCCGTAGAAGAACCCACAAGTTCAAGACGTCCCCCCTAAATCGTCTCTACCGCTACTTCAACCCTAATAAATCCAGAACCCACAAACGTCTCTACCGCCAATTCAACACAAACAAACCCAGAAACAATATGGTGAGGAGGATGAGGTTGACGACGAAGACAATGACCTAGAACAGTTGGGCTGTGGGAGCTGAAACTGGGTTTCATTGATTTGACCTAGAGGAAGAAGATGACAATGATGGGTTGGTGAATAAAGAGACCGGCGATTGCGAGCGAAATGGTCGGCGATTAGGGGAAGGGGTGGCTGTCGGGGTGATTTTGGTGGGTGATGGGGTGATTGAGTTCTTGTGGGTTTATTTGTATTTCTTTAATTTTTTTTTATATTAATTCTATTAAAAAAACGTTAACAGTGTTTATGTAGAGTTAGGCCTGATTTGGTACTGAGATGATTCTGAAAAAAAATGGGTATAAAAAAAAAGCTGGCAACTTTTTTGTGTTTGGTAAACATTCAGCTTCAGTTTTTTTTCATAGTTTTGGTGAAAAAAAGCAAAAAACACAAAGCTACAAAACCCAGCTTTGAAAAACCGACTTTTTTTCACATATGTTTTACATAAAAGTTTATTAAACACTATAATACTGTTTTTTTTTTCAAAAGCACTTTTACAAAAAAGTTTACCAAACAATCTACTGCTTTATTTCACAGCTGCTTATTCTCACATCACAGTAGAAGCAGTTTTTTTACGGAAATACCAAACCAGCCCTTAAGGTGAATGCCACGTGTCAAAAATTAGAGAAGGAGACACAAAGAAGACATGAAAATTGGGACAGCAGATCCACTACCCAACTGAGCGTCGTCCCCTTCACTTGACCTGAGCTGCTCACCCTCTCTCGCCTTTAACGAAGGAAGACGAACCCTCTTCCTATTCAGATCTGCTGACCGCTCTTCCGCTGCCCACGATCCTGCCCCTCCAGGTACGCACGCATCCATGTCTTCTCCGATCATACCCCTACAAACTACTCCGATTCAGATCCCTCATTGCAGTCAATAATTTCTCAGCACCCAATTCAACTAATCCAGTTTCAAAAGTTCACCTTTTATTTGCATACTCTGCAGACTGTAAAAATCGTAAAAATTGAATCTTTCAATTTGTTGCAGCAATGGAAAATGTATTGATCTTGTATCCTGTATTAAATATCTGTTCAACTCTACCGCTTTCGATTCCGTCGTTTGTTTTACCTGCCGAGTTTTTTTTAGTAGAACGATAGCGTTAGTGGGTTAAATAGTTCGTTGTTAGGGGAGGGGAATCGGTGGGGATGAAACCCGCACCGAGGTGCATAGCGCCATCTGCACCAGCTGAGTTACCTTGGAAGATACTATCAGATACCAAATTGATTTCATGGTTAATTCTAGATTGCATCAGTGTACATGGCATATATTGCTAAATTTAACGACTGGATGTTTGCTAAAGAATTCCGAGGAATTAATCGGGTGAATCCGAACCACTTACAAGGCATTGTATACTTAGTATCGCATATGCTTTGGTTAAAGTTTGACCAATCATCAAACTTTAGAGTGAATTGATGATTCGATTTTATTGTTTTTGTACTGCAGGTGGGTTTTTACACAGTCGAATTGATTGGGATTGGGGGCTTTTTCACCTCTTTAATTCAGAGGTGTGTTGGTTATAGAGTTAAATCTCAGAGGTTACTCTCATTATTTTTCATGTCTACCGATATTTCCACGCACTCTAGTGACAATTGAATATGTTCTCTTGCTTGTATATTTTCAAATTGCTTTACAAAGACAGAATAATGAATTGGAAGTCAAATTATGAGAGGAACTTTGATAAACAATTATGAAAGACAAAAGCGACATTGATTAATCTAGAATATAGTTGAGCCTGCTCTACTTTAATTTGTCGCTTCATTCCATTAGAATTTATATGGGATGGTGTACTTGAACAAAAATGTCATTAGTGGACGTGACCATAAATGAGGCATTGAAACAAAGCTGTTGTTTTTAATAAATTACATATACAATTGGCTAAAAGAGAAGTTTAATTCTACATAGGCACCAACAGAAAGGTCAGACATTTCGCTGTATAGAGTAGTAAATTTCCTTTTTTTTTTTCATTCTTGCCTAGGTTGGTTTTTGTAACGAAGAATATCAGAAAAGATTAATGATGATGTTATTGGTATTAAATGATTGTTTAACCCACATCGTGGCGTTTGATGCGCTGAAGTAGTTAAGATCTCAGCATCTTGTAGTGGTCAAATTTGATACCTTTAGACTCTTATCGATCAGTAATTCTATGTTCAGATGTTAAAGCATTATTGGGTTGCTTTCTTTGTGGTGGTGTCATGGGCTGTCAGCTTCACAGTTTTAGATGCCAGTGCTGGTGATGCTGATCCGCGCTATAGGTAATTGTTTTATCTTTTTTAGATATTCTTTTATGGTTCATTTTGAGGTATGCTGCTTTTATACCTGTTGTTAATCGTTTGCCACATCTACTTGTATGTTTTTTGAGGTTTTCATATTTCTTTAAAGTTTAAAGTTATGTTTTGTCGCTTCTTGTCATTCATCATTTAGAACACAATGTAGCCTACTAAGTTATTCTAGCATGCAGAACGCTTTCTTTCCCTGAATCAGCCATTTATCTTCCAAATGACTGAAATTTCAGCTGAATCCCAAATGGCTATATTGCTCCTCTTCATTGGAAGTTCTAATGGAAAGGGCCAGTTTTCGCCCACACCGTTCCAGGGAGTGGGGCCATATTGGTGTTCTCCCCATTATGAGCAATTAATGCTCCTCATTTGAATTTCGAACAGGGAGCTTTCTTTTCCCTCAAACATTTGTGTTCGCATATCTATATGGTAATTCACTAATCAGTAATTTAGTGGATGAATTAATACATAATAAGTATCCCTTGAATAAAATAGCTTCCATAAAACTATTTATCAATCCTTGTTACACAATTGGAATTCTTTTTGGTAAGTACCTTGCTGGAATTAATTTGTAATAATTGGTTTATTCCTAAGCTGTACAAGTTCCTTGTGTATTAATTCTTTGGCAAAATCGACATTTTGTTATTTTGCCGACCCTTGTAACTTGTCATGTGGATTTCACATTGCGAATTTGGAAATTGATATATGATTACTTGCAACTTCAGGGCTTGTCTAAACGAATGTGGAGAAACCGGTTGTGTAGGGCAGAGATGCTTTCCACATTGCAATTCCTCTTCCGATGGGGTCTCTGTTGATGGTCCATGGTACATGCAAGAACCTCTTTATCAGCAGTGGAAACAATGGGATTGCCAAAGTGATTGCCGTTACTATTGTATGGTTGACAGAGAGAAAGAAAGAGAAGCAGCTGGTGATGGTCCAGTCAAATATCATGGTAAATGGCCCTTCAAGCGTATTTACGGGATCCAGGTTTGCCTTTTTCGGACTATATGCGTTGGCAACATTTTCTTTTACAATATATTTTAATGGTATCATAGTTCTGTGGTTGGTGCTATTTGACGTGTTATCCTTTATTTAGGAGCCTGCTTCCGTAGCTTTCTCTGTGCTCAACCTTGCAACGCATTTTCATGGTTGGATATCCTTTTTCATCCTTTTATACTACAACTTGCCTCTGAGACGGGATAAGAAGACGTACTATTATTTTGCTAGTTTATGGCATATCTATGCTCTCTTGTCATTGACCTCCTGGTTCGCGAGTGCTGTGTTCCATAGCAAGTAAGCTTTTTATTCTACTCTAACTTGTGCCACCCATATGCAAACTCACAAATTTCTTTTTATTATTGGGACTTGGATATTTGCTCATGCTTGAATGGGTTGTAATATAATTGGGAGCGTTGGTTTGTATGTTAAGTTATTACTGTGCTATTTAAATGACATTTTAATTTTCCCTAAATCTTTCTGGAAAGACTAGTTATTGATGAAAGACGAATGATAAATACGGTTTGCTTATGCATTGAATTTACCTCACCTGGTGATCCTTACTGTGGGGGGGGGGGGGGGGGGGGGGAGTTTGGTTACTTGGCACATTTCTTGATCATCAATGTGTCTAATGGACTACAGGGACGTGGATTTGACCGAGAAATTAGACTACTCATGTGCAGTGGCAATACTTGGGTACTCGCTTATTCTGTCCATACTAAGAAGTTTTGATGTGAAAGATGATGCCGTCAGAGTGATGGTTGCTGCTCCACTGCTTGCTTTCGTAACCACCCACATATTGTACCTCAACTTCTATAAACTGGATTACGGTATGGCAGTTTACTACTATTTGTCATTAACGTATAGTTGGAGAGAGAATGTTGATCAATTGCACCTCCTTTAATCTTCAAATAGTTTTGTTAACGTGTAGTTTCTTGACGTGCATAGCAATCTCACGACGACAATCTGACTGAGATAATAAAAAATCTTTGCAGGGTGGAACATGCAGGTTTGTGTTGTCATGGCGGTGGTTCAACTTCTTCTTTGGGCAGTTTGGGCTGGCGTCACTCGCCATCCATCACGTTGGAAGCTGTGGGTGGTAGTAGTGGGAGGAGGCCTTGCAATGCTCCTAGAAATCTATGACTTCCCTCCATATTACGGATTCTTGGATGCTCATGCCGCCTGGCATGCCACCACGATTCCTCTAACTTATATTTGGTGGAGTTTTATCCGAGACGATGCTGAGTTCGTGGCATCTAATCAAGTAAAGAGGTTGCGAAACTCGAACGTTGCCAAGAAGGCAAAATAAAGCATGTGGTAGTGGCGCTTGAGCACGTAGCCCTCGTCTCCGTTAACTTACTGGAAATTGCAGTTTTCCCATTTTCTTCACTCAACCTGCATTGCAAAACGGGACAGTTGCCGTAGTCAGTAGGGTACTGATTGCATTTGCATTGAGATAACTTGGGATTTTGATTTTTCTTTGGTAATACTGTTATAGTTAAATTATTTTTATTTCATCATTTGTTGAAGTCGTAATGATGGTTCGTTTGGAAGTGTTTCTAGAAGTGCTTTTTGCAAGAAGCACTTCAAGTGTTTTTTTCAGGATTCACTTGCATTTTTACTAAAGATTACTTCCAAAAGCACATTTTTTTTTTTTTGGTAAAGACCACAAAGTGTCCCCACATCCCAGGGATGGGACTAATCTCCGCTTGAGGTTCGGCTTGTTTCTGGCCACAAAGTGCTCTCAGCTGGTTTCGAACCCCTGCCAAAAAGGCACCAGGGAATTCACCACCTGAAGGTGGCAATTTGCCAATCGCACCACAACTTGTGGTTAGTTCCAAAAGCACATTCATCGAAAGTGCTTTTTGTCCTCCATTTTAAACTCATTTCAACCAAATTTCGGCTTTCGTAATGATAAAACTTCCTTTCTCAAATCCCTCCGGCGCCACCATCACTAAAACCCTCCCACCAAGGAAACCTCAGCAAGAACATCACACCAAGTTTTTATGCGTCATTGCTCATTCCATCTGTCGGCTTAAGCTCATTCATCTCACGCACAACATCTTTTCATGGAAACCGCAACCTGCGTCATTGCTCGCTTAATCGCTGTAATATTCGTATCAGGTGCACCAAACGATTGCGGGATTGACAGCTTACAACTGGTGTCAACAGCATGCTTCACAGATGCATGGATACAAGAGGAAAGGGTAGGTCCTGCACCCACCCGACTCCCATGCGAAAGCAGAAACAAGACCTTGCAGCACATTGAAGTAGGAAACCATATTTTCCTCGAGTTCTCTAACTGCCGGTGTTTCTCCTTCGGTCCAAAGCATCCCGAACGTGGTAGTTTGTTCGGAGACTTGATCACCCATCCTTATGGCCTCCTCCCAGCTCACCATCTCAAGTGTACAGGGTGCGGTTTGATCCAACACCTCAAGGGTCTCATGGACGGTGATGAGGTGCTGGTTTAGAGTTTAGTGGGTTTGGTGAAAATAACTGAAAGTGCTTTTGGTGAAAAGGGGTATATGGTTATCATTTCCCTTCTTTGCATCGGAGAGGGAAGGGGTAAAGAAGGTAAAAAATTGATTTGAACATTTACCAATACAGTCTATCACCGCATGAATTGAATTTGGGTGCAAGATTTATGTACAAACCACATGATTTGATTACCAAGGCATCGCCGGTAAACAAATTGGACAATACTTTGTACGGAAGACGAATAAATACGTTACTATACACAAACAGAATTTCAAACCTCCAGAGTATATAGAAATAGCACCATATCATTCCATGTCATCTCATTGCTCCAAGCAAATTTGCACCATCAAGCTTTGCACCTTCCAAATTCTGTTCAAAACATAAAAATTAGAGTTACATCCTCGATTGCACGCTGTCAGTTGACACACCTAGCAACTATCCTACCAACAGAAAGGGCGTTCTCAATGCTGCAATTTCTACACTGGTTGTACGGATAATGCACATATATCAGACCTCCGAACTTCAATTCAAGGGAGGAAAGTAAATCCTAAACTCACTGTCTAGTTTTAGTAACTTAGGCCCATTCAGTAACCTTTTCTTTCTTTTTGTTTTTTGCTTTTCATTTGCGTTTTTTCAGTTAGAGATAGAGAGGAAATATATGGATGAAGTCTTGAAGAGAGGCGGTGAGAGGGGTGAGGGAAAAATCGAGGATGAATGAAATAAAAACTTGAAACGAAAACAACTTAAAATTGTTTTTATTTCCAAGCCAATATCTTCAATCTCCTCCTACCACCCTTCTATATATCTCCCTTTCTCCCATATATATCCTCCGTCTCTAACAGAAAACGGAAGCTAAAAGCCAAAAATGAGAAAATTACCAAACCAATAACCAAAATAGAAGTTTACAAAATGGTTTTAACTTTGATCAGCTTTCATTACCGTATCTCGAAGATTCACTTGACGTAAATAAGCTCGTTGAAGGTTTGCATCCTTCAAATTGGTATTCCTCAACTTGGCACCCTAGCATGCAAAAAGACAAACCAAACAAATAAATAAAGGGACGAAAGGGAGATATTTTGTTTCATTTACGATTTCATTTCTTTGAACAATAATGGATAATGTCATATAAGATGAACTACAGATTGTTTTCTATAAAAAAATTTCATGTAAACGTGGGGTGTTTCTCCAAAACAGCCTCGCATACCAGCTATATGATTATGACACATGTCTAACTGAAGGCGTTCTTAATCACATAATAGAATATAAGAAATAAGCAAACCAAATAGGTTTTACATTTGATTTCCCATAAATGAGAAGAATGTGAGATATCCGTTGCGTTATTTTTGACTTTACTAAGTAAGATCTCACCAGATTGAAAGTAGAAAACAACACGAGGGATATCTCACATTGTTTTTTTTATTATACCTTCACCACTTGTCTTCAAGGACTACCTAGCACAATCACCTCGTACATTTTCTCAAACTCACCTTCGATTTGACCCCAAACCTAACTTGATGAACATGTTGGTCGTATTCAGTTCTCTACCTAACACTAGAGTTCCACTACCAGCATTTATTATGTTCATTTAACCATGAAACACTAATTCACCACAAAGTGATCCAGCCTTCACTGTTAGGGATCTTTCTAAATCATCTCATTTCCCTTAAGGTGAAACAAACGAAGGAATGAAAGAACCTGTATTTCATTTACATCCCCTGCCTCAGACCAAACAAAGTATTAGAAAAAGGCTTAAATGTTTCGGTAATTGGATTAAAATGAAGACTATTTTCATGGTACTTTTCTTCTCGAAAAAGGGAGAGCAAGATATCTTGCCTACTATTGCAATGTGTTAGCAAGCCTGTGAAGATGTGTCCCAGAAAATTTAGAGCCATGAAAAAAGATGTAATATGGCAATTCATAAGCTTTTTTAGAAGTCAAACAGGATAATTATGTTCTCAAAATGAATTTATAGGAGTTCCTTTGACACACAACCTCCACTTTACCTTCAAATTTGCTCCTTCCAGAATAGCTCCCTCTAGATTGGCATTTGTAAGATCAGCATTCTGAAAAATTAAGAGCAAGAAGATAATGCATCATTCACTCTGTCAGTACCAAATCCTAAGCCTTCATTAGTCGAAGTAATATGAGTATCTCAAACAAACAGTTACTATCTCATTATTGGATGTTCTCGAAAACCAAAAACGGACAAACTACTCAGAAACAAGTGAACTATATTCTGATTGACAAATGCAGAACCTGTAGGTGTGCAGAACGCAGGTCTGCCTGGCAGAAGCTAGAATCTATCAAGCATGCATCTGAAAAGGGACACAACACAATTAAAAGGAAAATTCATAGTCTTAACTCTGGGTAAACGAGAGACACATAAGCTAAATCCATATTAAAAAAGTTTTAAAAAAAATATTTGAAGTTTAAATGAACAGAAACATATGCCAAGGAATTTAAGGAACATGATTACGGAAATAACAAATAACATAGTAATAAAATATTATCAGAAACCAAAATGCAGAAAAGTTTGCCTTGTAGATTTGCGCTCTGAAGATTAGCACCAGCCAACAAAGCTCCACGGAGATTTGCCCCAGTAAATTCACATCTTACCAAGGCAAAAGATAATTGCATTAATCAAGCAACCGATTAATAATATAATATCATCATTAACTGGAAATTATTAGAATTCATACTCCCGCAAAGTTGCATTGTGAAAGATGGCACCCTCAGCATCAACATCCTGTGACAAAATATAAAAGCTTCAATAGTCATATACTGATCTTATAAAAAGAAACGAAAACTATATACGCCGACAAAAAATACAGTGAGAATAACAACATTTAATACAACAACAACAACAAAGCCTTTTCCCACTAAGTGGGGTCGGCTAGAATAACAACATTTAATATGTAGAAAAAAAACAGCAGTTGTTTTTAACAGACCAGACATACCATGTATAACTAAAGGTTACCTTGAACTTAGCACATTGAAGATTTGCACGTGAGAAAAAGACATTTTTCAAACATGCATAGCTGAAGTCAACAAATGACAAGTCCTGCAATTTCATGGATCAAGTAACACCATGACATCAGAGACAAGGCATCAAATAAATGGATAATCATGCATCTTTTACCAACCAAAACATCTTTTCATTTAAATTCATAAATAATCCAGCAATGCTTACTTTTAATTTATGAAAGCAGTAAGAAACTGGTTTCAACATGCTATAGGAAATTTTGATTCTTAATACAGATTGTAATAGATGTTGTTTTACAAATTCAAAATATTTTTTGGTAAAAAAACTTGGTACACTAGGCATGAGTGAGGACGTTGCAGAGAAAATGCAAATGTATAGATCTCTTAGGGGCTTCATTATGTGCCTGTACTTCTGAAACTAGATGTTCTAAACGGATATTAGCTTATTGTAGTGTATTTTTTTCAAATTTCTAGAAACCGAATTTTACAAGGCACATATCTAGTACTACTTTTACTTTTTTTTTTTTTTCAGAATTGAGAACCTGAGAAATTACCAATTTGGAAAGGTCAAGGCCAGAAAGATTGACACCTCGAAAACGCACTTTCTCAGACTGTATGCACTTGATGATATCAGTACGTGTTAGTTCTGTATCTACCTCTTCATCCTCCCTCTTCTTATTTAGAACAGCATGTATTCCATCCATCAGACCCTGAAAATTGTTTCAGAAATTCACAACATTGTTGAAACAATCTGACTGTCAAATGAAAAGAGGCAGTATTCATTGTGATGGGAGAAATGAAAGCGGATAAAAATGGAGATATTTTTGACATGTAAATTCATTAGTAGATTGATGAATGAATCTCAGCACATGTATAAACTCCATTACTTCAACATAGTTAGAGATATACAAAAATGTTTCATCCGAGTTGTATAGTTACAAAGTGAATACTTTATCTCTAGGGACTTGTTTCGAGTCTTTCAATATTCCAGAAAATAATCAGTTTATATTATTAGATTGGGAATCCAAAACATTAACTACTTTGATCACTGCTTGAATATGTGGTCCAGATTCACGGTTTCGAAATTAAGATTCCTATGTTGCAGATTATCTTAAAAAAAAAAAATATTAGTCCATATATTG